AGGACCCTCTGTTGCTTTTTACAGATTCAGACTAACACGGCTACCCCTCTGATACTTGATATATCTGTAGGTTTCACTCCCTCTCTGTATTTGCCAAGTAGGTAGGAAAAGGTCTAAATCCTGTTACTTGCACGTGCCATCTGATGCAAGCACAAAATTAGAGGTGGAGTAGAGGCCTCTTTAAAGGGGTGTCCTTCAGAAATCAGAATGTATGTAACAACAGAGCTACTGGGACAAATTCACCAAAGGCCTAAACAGACACAGTGCCCTTGTCCACTGAGCCATTGGCTCCATATCAGTCATTGTTAAGATTTATGACTGTCTAGTGAATTTCATCTCATTATTTGCTTCCAGATCAAACAGTCACGATGTTTGCATCCTCACAGGTGGCTAACACTTGTAATTTTATTATGTGGAAAAAAGAGTTTGTTTATTTTTCTCTGTGGCATTTTTGTTCTTCACAAGCATCACAGGAACAATCAGCTTGAATGAACATGCTGGTGTATCTGGTACTGGCCCAGAATTAATCCTCTGGTCATCATTTTGCCTTTTGAATTCTCCCCTGTTTATAATTAAGCTGGTTGAGTCATGAAAATCCTAGTTCATGAATTTATGAATCCAAATCCCAAGTCTCTGCTACTCACAAACATTATTCATGTTTATTTGTTCTTTAGTTGCAAGAATTCAGATGACCACTGGGTTTCCATGGAAATGTTTTTGAATCCTGAAATACTCACCAGTTGTAGCACTAACAGTTATTTGGCCTAACACTCCTTATTGGCTACTCTTTATTCTCCTGTTTAATAGGTTTCGGTAGCCAGTCAAGGAGCAGGAACAATGCCATGTGACTTAGGTATCCAATCACATATAGCGAATAAAAATATAGCATTGAATGAATTGCGCGAAAATTACCAACCAAGCGATACAGCAAATAGCATATTAGGCCAAATAATTATTAGTGCTACAATCTGTGACTATGCAAACAAAACAGAGTGAATTCTGGTGCATCTAATATTGTTCACAATGAATAATACACCCAGCTTTACTCCTGTCCAGTCACAGAGTGAGGGAATGTCACATGGCCGGTAGGAGATGGGACATGTTCCTAACGGGGCAGCACTGTTCTGGTCATGTGTGGGGGGACTCACCAGTGTGTAGAGGTCTTGGGAAGGAACCAGGCCTCTTCTAAGGGGATCTTTGGTGAAATGTTCCTGCAAGAAGATGTTTGAAATACTAATGAGGCTAATTATTCCATGTATGTGGTTTGGGATTTCCTGGCAGAAACTGGGGAGGGGAAGGGGGGAGGGTTACAAAACTCTCAGAGTCAGGAGACTTGGCTTCTATTGTGAGCTCTGCCACTGACCCATCGGGTGACCTTGGGCAAGTCACTTCCCTTCTCAGTGCCTCAGTTTCCCCAGCTGTACAATGAGGCTGACCTCCTTTGTAAAGCACAGCTGGAAAGGGCTATATAAGAGCTAACTATTATTATTAATATTTCTTTTTTCCAGTATTCTGGGCATAAGAGCTATTGAGCCACCCGAGGATGAAGAACAAACAGCGGATATTGATCCCGGAATGAGGCTGTTGTCTAGTGACGCACAAGGCGGAAGAGGTAAGCAAGCTGAGGGATGACACTCTTTCTCCCGCTGGCATCCTCAGCATGCCCAGAAAGCTAACGCTCTCTCTGCCTCCTCCATTTGCAGCTCCCAGGAGTGCTGGAGACCCGCCAGCCCCGCTGGGTGCCAAGTCTGCAGCAGTGCCGGAGGAAGACCGAGACCACATCTACCACCCCCCAGACACTGCTCTGGAAGAGGAAGGCCCTGTGCAGATAGCGGCACTGTATGCTGAAGCTGTCAGTGGCCCAGAAGAAGACAGAGACCATCTCTACCATGGCTAGGGGAGGAGATTTGATCCTGTCTACTCACCAGTAATAAAGGAAGAGGGGATTGTGCCGAGTGTCCCCTCTACCCACTCTCCTTGGCTGTATGTTCCCTTGGCCCTTTCCTTCCCAGGATGGCGGGGGTGTACCAGCCCCTCTCCTCCTCCCTGTCCTATCAGACCCTTTGTCTTGGATAATAAGAGGGCTCTGGCTTCAGGCTGTGTCAGGCTCTACTCTGAGCTATCACTCAAATGGCAGTTGCTGGGACCGGCAGGTGCTGCAGGAAGATGGTCGGCTGGCTGAGGTCTCTTGGCAGGACAAGCATCATTATGAAATCTGCCCTTCCCTGAGTGTCATGGCTGTGAAGTGTCAGGCACCCCCAGTGACCCAGCTGTGACCCCAGCGTGGGGCTAGGAGAGGCGTTTGCTGTAGCAATGCCCTAGGCAAGGAGCTGCTTCTGGAGAGCGGCTTGCTGCTGTTATTCGTTTGTGCTGAACTGTATCTACATGCTGATTCAGAGCAGCTGAAAGCTTGGAACTGCAGCAGTCCTGGAATCAGTTTGCACCCACAGCGAGCTGGCAGCCCCTGTGTACAGAATGCCCCCCCCCAACTTGGGGATTCTGGGACATGTCTACACTGCAACTAGACACCCGGGGCTGGCCCATACCAGCTGACTCAGGCTCATGGGCTGCCGGGACCCTGTGAGGTGGGAGGGTCCCAGAACCCGGGCTGCAGCCTGAGCCCAAACGGCTAGACTGCAATGAAACAGCCCCCAGCCCGAGTCAGTTGGCACGCACCAGCCGCGCAGGTCTAATTGCAGCATAGACATACCCTTAGTGACACCAGCCTCAGCTGGAAGGCTTAATAAATAAGCCTCCTCCAGTGGGGGGTGGGGCAAAGGGGGCCACTGTCTCCCCAGGGTGGGACCTCATCACCCGCAGGTGCACCCACTCACAGGGCAGACAGTGGTGGGAAAAGGAAGGGCATTCGTGAGAATGCAGGGACAGCTGCTAGAGCCAGGCCTGCTCCCAGCTTCACACGCTTCAGCCAGAGGGGAATCCAGGAAGGGAGGCAGGCACAGGGCACCGTGGCCATGTCTACACTGCAGGGGGAGTGAGCCCAGTTACAGAGGCTTGTGCTAGCTCGGCTCAAGCTAGCAGCTAAAAATAGCAGCTTGGATTTTGTGGCTCAGGCGGCTGCTTGGGCTCTGAAGCCCACCCTGTGCCCTGGGTCTGAGCTCAGATAGCTAGCCCAGGTCTGCACCAGAGCCACATGGCTATTTTTGGTGCACTGGCTCAGGCCCAGCCAGCAAGAGTCTGTCTGCCCAGGCCGGGAGGCTCCCCCTGCTGCAGTGTGGACATACCCCATGTGTCCCTGAAAGAATCATTGCCCTGCAAACCACAGGGACCTTCCCCCACACATTGCACCCCACCCCCACGCTTCCCACCCACCCCTCCCCCACACACTGTGCACCCCACACAGAGCCCCGCTCCATCCCACACCCACTCCTCCTCCCCACTGTGCACCCCACACAGACTCCTTCCCTCCACTCTGTGTGCCCTACACCCACCCTCTTCCCCCACACTGTGTGCCCCTACACACAGTGCACCCCTCACATTCACCATCCCCCCTTGCTGTGGGTTACCTAGGGAGGTGGTAGAATCTCCATCCTTAGAGGTTTTTAAGGCCCAGCTTGACAAAGCCCTGGCTGGGATGATTTAGTTGGGGTTGGTCCTGCTTTGAGCAGGGGATTGGACTAGATGACCTCCTGAGGTCTCTTCCAACACTAATATTCTATGATTCTAACTCTCCCACACCCTCTAGCCCTCTCCTCAGGGCACCGGGGCCTCTAGTCAAGTCACATGACACCCTGTGAGCCAAAGGGCCGTCAAGAACCAATGGGGCACTTTTCAGTGCTGGCTCCTACTGGCCCAATAGCCCTGTCCTGCAGGGTTACGGCCTGTGGGCCCTGCTGGCACCAAAGGGCTTGGCAGGGTGGGGATGGGATGAGCAGATCCCATTCGCCCCAGGGCTCCTCAGGGCTGAGTCCGAGCAGAATGGTCCCGGTCCAACTGACGCTTTGAGGGAAAGTCTCTTCCTTTGCCCTCTGGGCCTGCTCTCCTGCTCACTCACCCCAGAGTGAGGGGGCCAGGCCCCATAATGGGCTGCCGCTGGGCTGATAGCAGGTTGGGGCCCCTGAGCTTTTCTACAAGTCCTTGTGCAGGGCATGAGGGTTGGGTTAGCACCTTTGGGTCTCTTCTAGGCCGTGGCCTTTGGCTCACTGGGACCCTGTGCTTCTAAACCCACTGCAGGTGTTAATGGAGAGAAAGAACAAACACATACACACATACACATACTCACATGGGGTTTGATCCATCTGGGTTTGCAATTGCTCTGCCTAGCTCCAGCTGAGCAAATACCTTGCAAGAGCCTCTGAGACCGTGGCTGAGCAACAGATCCAGAGCTGGGTCAATATTGGCGACAGACAACCCTTAACGAGTCAGGGCTGGACAGAGCCATTTCTCACCCAAACGCCCCATGCAATGCAGGGGGGAGTTGGGACAGGGCTTTGCATTAACCTATTCACAGCTGTTCTGACTGCCATGGCTATACAAAGGATCAGGGTCCCAAAGTCAGCTGCCCGAACCAGTCACTTGCTTGACAAGAAATTCTGGCAATGATTTATTACAGTAAAGACAGTGTGTGTGTGTGTGTGTGTGTGTGTGAGAGAGAGAGAGATGTAATGAAGACAGTGTGTGTGTGTGTGTGAGCGTGTGAGATGTAGTGAAGACTGTGTGTGTGTGTGTGTGTGTGTGTGTGTGTGTGTGAGAGAGAGAGAGAGAGAGAGAAATGTAGTGAGGACTGTGTGTGTGTGATGTAGTAAAGACAGTGGGGGGGGTGTAATGAAGACAGCGTGTTGGGGGGGGATGTAGTGAAGACAGCGTGAGTGTGTATGTGGGGGGATATAGTGAAGACAGTATGTGTGTGTGTGTGTGTGTGTGTGTGTGTGTGTGTGTGTGTGTGAGTGAGAGAGAGAGATATTTAGTGAGACATGGTGCACTCCCCAAGCCAACTCAGGTTTGACCAGCCCACCTCCCCAAACCTCTCTTGCTCTCTCTCTGCTGTTTTCATGGGGAAGCCTTTGCACAGAGATCTCTCCAAGTGCACCCTTGGAGTTGGCTGCCCCCAACTCTCCCATTCTACTGGCCTAAAACCTGACCCTGTTTCTGCGGAAGGCAAGCGTGCCCATGGGGCAGGAGAGAAGACGACGGGCCCCCATCCCACTTAGTGTTTGCTGGCCCTTGGCTATGCTCCCTGGGCCTGGAATTGCTCAGCTGGGTTGCTCTCCACGGTTGCTCTGGCCAGTCTCTGGGACACGTAGGAGCTGCGTCCATCTTGCCAGGCTGCTCACAGCAGGGTGCTGGGTGCTTAGGGCTGTCCAGGCCAAAGGAGAGCAAGACAGGGATGAGAGCAGTGGAGTGGAGGACGGGTGGCAATTGATCCAAAGCCAGGATAGAACTAACAGGCTGGATGTTTCAATGTGTCTATTAAACCAGCCACTAGGGGGAGGAGGCAGATATTTAGACAAGGAAATATGGGGCTGTTTCAGGGCTGTGTTGTGCGTTGTTGGAACCGTGAAAGGGTGGAACTATTGCCAAGATACATGCATGTTGCCTGAATAAAAAGACTGTTCGTGCTCCAAGACGGAGTACTGCTGCTTTACGCTACAGCATAGGGCAACGAAGTGGAATCAACCACACAAGAGCAAAAAAAGGGAAAGAAGTAGGCCTGGGAAGTTATCTGCAAGGAAGGCCTACGCCCTTACAAACACAGTCCCAAAAGTTGTGGCTGTTTTCTCTATTTCACCATTTAATTCGCAACACCAAACTTGGACGAAAACTGCAACATATTATTTTGTTTTTTCACTGCTAATGATATTACAGGTAAGACAAGAGCTATTATATCTGACAGTGTAGGGGCCAAGACTTACAGTTTAATGAGAAATCTGTTAGCCCCTGAAAAGCCTGGAGCTAAAACTTTTGATGAGCTCGTAAATCTGCTTCAGCCCAACCTCCGGCGATTTAGTAGAACAATTTTAGTTTAAATATCGGTGGAGGAAATCCAGGGAGGCAGTAGGAGAATTTGTGGCAGAACCAAGGAAGCACTCAAGGTTGTAATTATGGTGCGACTCTGACACAAATGGCAAGAGACAAATTAATTTGCACCATTAATGATGAAATGCAAAGGAGATTGCAGTCTGAACCCTAGTTAGCATTTGAAACAGCTCTGAAATTGGCCCAGTCTATGGAGACTGCAAATAAAAATGTACAGGATTTACAAGCCCAAGCTACAAGAGCTGGGGGAGATGGAAATAGCATGCAGGAAACACATGGTACTATGTACAGAATTGCAAGGCAGCCTGGGAAACAGCTAGCAGAGTGTTATCTTTGTGGAGGCAAACACACCCTAATGGTTTGCAGATTTAAACATGAAACATGTCACTTTTGCAGATTGACTTTGCACATTCGAAGAGTGTCGAAACAAACCCAAGAAAGCGGAATCCCAAAACCACAATAAAAAACAGCCTCATAGCCATAGTACCTTCCATATACTGAAGGAGGAAAATAGTGAAAAAGAAGAGGAGGAAGTAGCTTATACTACCTATAGAATAATGGAAGCAAATATTCCTAGAGCATTCATATTGGATTGACTGTAAATGAAAAAAAATGTACAATTGGAGCTCGACACAGGATGCAGTCTGACTATTATGAACCAAGAAGCATATGAGACATTGTGGAAAGATAGTGAACCACCATCATAGCAGACATGTAGGATAAAATTAAATATCTACACTAGAGAAGTAGTAAAGATGCTGAGAGCCATCAAGGTGAAGGTTAGCCACCAGAG